ATATTCTGATTTTTCTTTTTCTAAACATTTACAAAAATATTTTATTATTTATATTTATAATATAGTAAAATAATTATCACACATAAGGATAATATATTTTTCCGAATCCTTTATTCATATTTGTAGTCAAGACTATGTATAATATTGTAGAGATTTGAATGTCTTATGAACAATGAAATAACTAATTTTTGGTAAAAAAAAAAAAAAAGATTTCAAGTTGAAATTCAGAACTCAATTTTTCTGATAGATATCAAAGTAATCATTAAAAAAACAAATTCGTAATAAGTTTCTGTCTCAAGCATAAAAAGTTTGAGTCTATATGATAAATTAAAAATGATTAATTAGTTAAAAGATTTTCTTTATAAAATTAAATAGTAATTTTTAGATCGTAAATAATAAAAATTTTAGATAATTGAAGTTAGGGATGTACCGAGACCGAGAGCCCGGTCTCGACTCAGTCTCGGTCCCGGTCCGTCTCGGTCTCGGTCTCGGCCGAGAATGAACGAGATCGAGACTCTCGGTCTTGGCTAGCCTCAACCTTGATATTGAGTAGTGCCGGTCTCGATCATTTCTTTATCATAGATAAGTATGCTACTCTGTCTCGGGCGAAATTATATTTCTTTAAGCTTTTCAGCTGAGATTGACCGAGATCGAGAGTCTTGGTACATCCCTAATCGAAGTATTCTTCAACATATAAGAATCATTGATATAAAACAATTAGTATAATAAATTGAATTTCTATTTTAGAAGTTTTCATCTCGACATCATGTATTTTCAAATGAATATTTATCTAAAATTAATTTACCTAAATGGGAATATATTTCACCAAATATTAATCATATATTATCAGATAAACATACAAAATCTGGTGTTTATGCACATGAAATACATCTTATTCAACAAGAACTTGAAGCTCTTTTATCTATGTCAATGATACGTAAAAATATTTTACAATCAACTAATATAAATAATTTAAATTTAAATATTTATCAATATCAACAAGTTGAAAATATTTATTCATTAAAAACTATATCAAAAAAATCATTAATTAATCATCATCAACAACAATATAATAAATCATATATATTACTGGATCGACAAATATCAATGACACCTATAATAGATTCATATATTGATAAAATATGGTCTAATATAAATACATATTATCATCATATATCATCAAATGATATATTAATAATAAAAAATTTTTTTGAATATAATTAAAAAATTAAATAAAGAATATTATCAAGATTTATTAAATATAATAAAAATTAAACCTTTAATTACACATTATACAAATCAAACAATATTAGAACGTTTTCAAACAAAATTATATCAATATTATAGAAAATCATTTAATTATGATTTAAATAATAATTCATCATTACGTTGTTCAACACGTTTACAAAAAAATTCTCAAGTAAATCATTTTTCTATACCTAATATAAGTGTATATAACTTTATATATGCAGTGATACTACAATGTTATTTGATCATTCTTCAGCAAATATCATAATAATATAAGTTTGATAAGAATTGTTTTTCTATGA